TTGTTTTTAATTTCGCGCAAAGCTACACGAGGGCTATCTGCGCTAGTCGTCCCTAATTTAGCAGTGTAAGACTAGAGGGAAGGCAGCTAGTCATCACCACCCACCGCCAACTCTTGGGCTACTCTTTTTACCAACGAATTGTGGGATTGACCGTCACATTATAACGCCCCCACGGCTGAGAGGGCGAGCATGTTTGGTGTGACGGAGACTCGAACCCGCGACCCGCAGATTGCGAGTCGAGCGCCCTAACCACCTGACTATGCCGGGTCCGGGTCGATTTGAACGAAACGGTCTAGAATAAAGGCTGAAGAGTTGGGGGTGGGGGGGGGGTGTGATAGAGAGACTGGCCTGAGATTATCGTTATTAGTCAGTAACTGTAGTACAAAACTGGGAAGTATTTTTGTCTTTAATGACTTTTAATTCTTCCGACGTATAACGCCCTCTTTAAAGTAAAATAAAGATGGGGTTTTCGTCAAAATTAAAAAAAAGAAAAGAAAGAAATCGTCATCATAGATCTAGTTATAAAAACAAAGAAATTCTGTTGGGTTACATACGTAAGTTCCTTCTTTCACGCCCCCCTGCATCTCTCCCAAGTGCTCTTATTAAACAAACAAACAAACGAACAAAAAAGAGAGACCAACATTAGTTGTAAAAGACGTAAAAACTGTCGACAAACCTTAGAGCCTCCGGCAGGTGGGGGTACTTACTTGAAAAAAGCTGTAAGTAGACATTAGAAAGAGCCCTTGGGTTACGAAGGTGTCCCTAAATTGAGTGGCTGGCAAGCTAAATACATAGGGAATGGAATTTTAGGTGTCTATACATTCTCGTGTCGCCTAAGGTCACGGTCGCACTTTGGTGTAAAAGTCACGTAGCATAATAATACAGCCGCAGTCACGCAAAAATTGGGGTTGGTTCTAAAGTAAAAACGGCTGTGCGTTTATTTGTTTCTAAACAACAAGAACAGCAAATCATACGGCACTTAACGTAATAAGCAGCTGTACGTTCTATACTTATATATATATATGCACTGTTGAAGTTTCCATGTTAGCAAGTCTATAAACACAATAATTCCCACAGGTTGTTAAACCTTGTATAGGGTTTGACGATCTTTAGTGCTAAAGGTGTAATCTTTATACACTAGAGTTCAACGTCGTTGAGAACATAAAAGTTTAATACAAGACTAATATAGTCAACGTTATGATGATACGAAGTTTGACATGTAAACACACAAATAATACGCTAACTGATAACCAACACTATGGCAGCACGAGGCGTAGGCGAAGTTTAATATAAGACTAATATAGTCAACGTTATGATGATACGAAGTTTGACATGTAAACACAAATAATGCGCTAACTGATAACCAACACTATGGCAGCACGAGGCGAAGGCGAAGTTTAATACAAGACTAATATAGTCAACGTTATGGAGATACGAAGTTTGACATGTAAACACACAAATAATACGCTAACTGATAACCAACACTATGGCAGCACGAGGTGTAGGCGAAGTTTAATATAAGACTAATATAGTCAACGCTATGGTGATACGAAGTTTGACATGTAAACACACAAATAATACGCTAACTGATAACCAACACTATGGCAGCACGAGGTGTAGGCGAAGTTTAATATAAGACTAATATAGTCAACGTTATGATGATACGAAGTTTGACATGTAAACACACAAATAATACGCTAACTGATAACCAACACTATGGCAGCACGAGGTGTAGGCGAAGTTTAATTATATAAACTGAATACGCTAACGATGGTCAAAAGAACGAGGTAAAGGCGTCATTTTACTGAAATTGTTGAACTCGAAGCGTAAGAGAATAAGCAGTAAATATTTATTATATGTACAAAAAATTCTACTTGAGATTTAACAATGGTCCCTCTTCAGTTCGATGGCTGTTATAATTCTACGAAACAACCAAACCAGGCAGGTTTAATCCCTTATATTTAAGGTGTTTACCGGCACTATAATTATTAAAACTAGTATATATATATATATATATATATATATATATATATATATATTTTAGCGGTCCTCGTTCGATACGATGTATAAGTTAGTTTTTCTAATTTAGTTTCACTTTTTCCCCACCAGATGACTTCTTTCGCGCGAGCAATAAAATAATCACTATCACTTTAATTTCCGTTGATGACAAACTCGTATTATTGATGTGTAATTATCACAATACTTTTAAAATATCATAACTTACTCCGAACGTTAAATGTTCTTGCTCGTTGCCCCATAGAGGATGCCGACTTTGAACTCATCACAGTGAACAAGTCGCTTTCCATGATCACGTCATTAATGACGTCACCAGCCTGTAACTCAAGAATGGAGGTATCTGCTGCAGATGTTGATCTTCGACGTTTCTTATTAAGGTTTTGTGTGACGTCACTGCTGCAATCGACCTGGGAGAAAACAAAACAATTTTAATAAAAGTGAAACATTAAGTAACGGATAGAAAAAAAAAGAGAGTTAGGCCTACTTAGTTTCTGGTCAAACACGGTCAATGGTTAGCATACCAAACTCAGAACTGGAAGATTCAAGGTTGGAGAAAATAAAACAACTTTAATAAAAGTGAGACATTAAGTAACGGGTAGAAAAAAGAGAGAGTTAGGCCTACTTAGTTTCTGGTCAAGCACGGTTAATGGATAGCATATTAAACTTAGCACTGGAAGATTCAAGGTTCGAGCCTGCTGTATGTCGCTGAATATGCTCTACACTCTCAGTTGTTGTAAAGATTAAAGCCGGTAATCTACTTTATTCTAATTACCAGAAAGTTGCGGTTATACCTAATGGATCATTTTCTAAAAAACAATAAATAAAAAAAAAATCGTTATTATTTTTTTTCTTAGTTCTAACTGTTTGATTCTTACCGGCGGACACTTGTCCAGACAAAACGACACCGTCATCTGTAACTTAACTGTGCTATCAGAAGCAAACTTGAAGGCCTGAAATGGAGCCTGGAGAGATTTAGACCCTAGAGCAGGAGTTAACAAGGGAAACACGCTGGGTTCCACGGGACACCTAACAAAGAAAACAACAACAATGTACGTCAGCGAGCCCCTCAGGTTCGTGTCACGAAAGATTTACAAAAAAAAAGAAAAGAATGCAGTGTGACATCCTAACTGAAGAATACCAGAATTTTTTGGCTTAAAAATTAAGTTCTAGTTTTATAAATAAACACGTTTTATGGCTTAAAAATTCAGTTCTAGTTTTATAAATAAACA